AAAAAAAAAAAAAAAAAAAAAAAAAAAAAAAAAAAAAAAAAAAAAGACTGAATAGGTCTGTTACCTGGGAGAAGTGATATTCTCCCTGCTCTCCCTGCCCCCAACAAGAGCTTTGACAGAGGACTAAAGGTCATCTCAAGGGGCAGCCCCCCCTCCCACTACCGCAGCAGCTAATGGGGGTGTTGCAAAGAAAAAACAAAACATAAAAATTTCAAGAAAATGAATGGGACTAGAAAACAGTCTACTCAAGAAGGCAACCCGGGCTCAGACAGAGAAATACCATGCATTCTCTCTCATGGGTCGATTCTGGCCTCTGTCAAATACGGATGTGCAGGTGGAAATAAGTCAACAGGAAACGAAAAGTGAGTCTTTAAGGAAGGGCTGTTGTAAAGACAATAAAACAAAATGTAAGGGGTAGAGTGGGTGGAGCAGGAAGGAGTGGGAAGTCAACCAAGGAGTGGGAAGCCGACACCAACCAAAAAGTGTTAGAATGTATATAAAAATCCCGGAAAGAAACCTGTAACTATGAAGTTTATTTGAAAATTAAGGAAACAAGTGGCAAGTGTGAGTTCCTTCATTATGCTTTAGCCTCACAGGGGAAGCTTTTAGATGTTACCCTTTGGGTATACCGTTAGCTCCCACCTCATACAAAGTTATTGCTCTGTTGATATTATCTTTTCTATATTAGGTATACTAAGAAATTTTTACCATGAAACAATGGTGCATTCTTTGAAATGCTTTTCTCTATCTCTTGAGCTCATCTTACTTGTAATTGTTAGCATGTTCATCATACTGACTGATTTGTCAGTAGCCAAGGATAAACCTTACTCGATTATGGCCTATATTTCTTTTTGTGTTCTGTTGAATTTGTTTCTGTCATTACGAAAGGGGGAAAAATCTTACAATGATTGTCTCAAAGAGGATAAGAATTCATTCTGGAGTCAAATAAGCATATTCTGGAATGGTCTCCCTAAATCCCGTGTTCTGATGAGTTATCAATTTAATTAATTTTTTATAGTAACATAAAAGAAAGCTATAAAATAATACACTTTGATAGCAGATGCTGAGACTTATGGCAAACTCTTGGGCAGAGTGCATGGAATCTTATGTAAGAAGTGGGAAATAATAAGATCTGGAGAGGACAGGAACTCCACAAGGAGAGCAACAGAACCAGAAAATTTGAACACAGGGGTCTCCCCAGAGACTCATACTCCAACCAAGTGCCAGGCATGGAGATAACCTAGAACCCCTGCACAGATGTAGGCCATGGCAGTTTAGTGTCCAAGTGGGTTACATAGTAATAGGAAGAGGAACTGCCTCTGACATAATCTCATTGGCCTGCTCTTTGATCACCTGAGGGGGGAGCAGCCTTACCAGGCCACAGAAGATGACAATGCAGCCACTCCTGATGTGATCTGATAGACTAATATCAGAAGGAAGGAGAGGAGGACCTCCCTTATCAGTGGACTTGGGGAGGGGCATGTGTGAAGAAGGGGGAGGGAGGGTAGCCAGGGAGGGGAGGAGGGAGGGGCCTATGGGGGGATACAAAGTGAATAAAGTATAATTAATAAAATAAAAAAAGAAAAAAATAGCATTTGTGGTTACATTGAGTATGTAAGTTATGGAGAAGCTATAGGCCTTATGCTGGCTGATCTCACTTTTAGCCCTGTGTTCAGTGAGATGAGGTGTCTGTTTATACATTCCAAGAGAATTTTATCAGCTTGTCAAAGGAACTTTGGTCCCACACAGAGCTAGGCAAGAAATGGCTCTTTAGCTGAAGTAGCTCAAGATAACTTGTAATTAGGCTCTGTGTCTGCAGCATTCCAACCTGCCCGGTTCTTTCCAGGAACGCTTCTCAGAATTGCAGCATTTTGTTTAGGGTTTTTGCAGCTCTGTTAGTGATATTTGACTATGACTTTATTGCATTGTAGTATTCTTATACGGCTTCATAAACTGAGTTTGGAACTATTCCTTTCTCATCAGTTTTGTTTTGTTTGGAAGAGTTTGAGGAGGATTTGCATTAGTTCTTGAGACATTCGTTAGTGTTCACCACAGAAACTGTCATTCCTAATGATTAGAGTTTTGAGAAATGAAGATTTTATCCAGTGGATGACACTGAAGGCTAGTCATTTTTATTTCCCATTGAGGAAGAAGAAGAAAAGAAACAAGGGACATTTAAAAAAAAGAGTGCTGATCAGTGTAAGAGCTCTTAAAGTTTTGGAATCTGTTCCATATTGAAACTATTTGCTCATCTCTGGAAAATCTGAGTACAAGATAAATGTCTTAGGTTGCTGTATGTGTGGTCTTGGCCCATCACCATTTGGTAATAGTTACAAGCAAATACTTACATCTAGGACTGAGGATAAAGAAACAAACAAACAAAACAAAACAGAAATGACTTGCTTACTGAGAATCTGCTCTTTACCATTTTTTTAAAATAAAATTGATTTTGTGAGGCAAGTGTTAGCTCTGTAGCCTGACCTTGAACTTGCTTTGTAGCCCAGGGCTGGTCTTAGGTTCACAAGATAGGTTAGACTGGCCTTGGGGACTCAGCAATGCCCCTGCCTCAGCCTCCCCAGTTCTAGGGTTATAGGCATACCCTAAAACACTGGGCTGACTGTTTGTTATTTGACTTTTAGTTCAGCCTTGGAGAACTGTCAGGAAATAGGAAGGATGACTGTGCATTTCATGTCAGTGCATTCTCTTATATCTGCTTACACGCACACATATGTTATGTTAGCTGAATATCAACCTCAAGAGAGTCCTCAAATCGCAGGAGAGATTCAACGCAGCAAAGGAAAAAAAACCTTACAAAGTTTGCTGTTGAAAACATTGGATTGACATTACATTGTCAGAAAATCAGCAGCTTTTTATAAATTGTATGTATTCAGTAAGTTTGTTCTTACTTAACAATGTAGATTGCCACAATTTTGCTGTTAACATTTCTATGTTCTCAGTTACCGATAAGCATCAGTTCAAGCCAGAGCAAATGCTGTACCGATTCCGCTATGACGATGGTACATTTTACCCGAGGAGTGAGATGCAAGATGTGACCTCAAAGGTAAAGACATCTTTGGCCAATCCATGTCGGGGACCCTGTTGCTGTACTTGTGGAACATGAAAAGCTACTGAGAGACTTGGAAAAGTCTTCTGATGTAGGGAACTCTTAAATCACCTCATCAGCAGTCTTCACCTAACCACAATTTCTGCAATTCTGAAATTCCAGTGTTAGATCATTTGTTTTCTTTCCTGGTTCTAAATGAAAGTGGAACCTCACTCAAAAGGTACCAGTCATTAAAAATCTTTTCATGTGGAACAACCTCTATCAAGATATTTGTACAAATTAAAACAAACAAACAAACATAAGGACAAATATCCATTTTATTGTACTCTTGCAAATTTTATATTCAAACATAACAAGCACATATTCTAGATTTATTGCTGTGGAAGCTTTCTGTTTAAAGTATATCTTATGATTTATATTAAGAAATATTTTAGGTAATTTATGTGTCATACGTAGATGACACATTCACAGTACAATTCCATCGTGTTCTTTAGCACCTTAACTTCCATTTTTATCATGTATCTCAATGTTTGGATAGCATTTTGATTTTGCTGAGGCTGCACAATAACCCGAGGAGACCGAAAAACAGTTGACGCCTTATTCTGAAAGTTTGCTAGTGTGTCTCTTGAGTGCTCTTATCCACTTCTGATCTGTCCTGTCTCCCACAGGGTGTAAGACTGTATTGTCGTCTTCATAGCCTCTTTACCCCAGTGGTCAGGTGAGTCTGCCTCTTAAGAGGGTCATATATGGAACTTTGTTTCATGTGAGAACTTGGATCATCCCATTTTAAGTGATTATTTATCTTAAACGTTCCTAAAATTTTCTGGCACTATACATTTAATGTTTTTCTCCTTTGCTAGGCTTTCTAAAACTTATTTTATTATTATTTCATACCACATTCATAAGCTCAAAGTGATATAATCCAGATTCCCTTAGTATTTAGTAAATCGTAGTTGAGTGATCTAAAAATGATTCAGAAATACTGTTAATTTAAATGGTCACAGATAGGAAGATTATGGGAAATATGAATAATTGAACATTGGATGTATAGTTATATTTCCTTTTAAAAAAGCTTTTTCCCTCAAAAGGCAATATTTTGTATTGGAAAAATAAGACTTATTTTAGAATTAATAAATATGATCTTGGAGTTTGTTAACTAACTCATTTTCAAAACAAATGCATAATCCATTTTTTCTTTTAGTTTTTTGAGACTGGACCATGGTCAATTTTTTAAATGAATAAATGTATTTTTAAGTAATGTCTACAGAATGCAAATGTTTGCATGAAGTGGTTTTATTTTATATGCTTAATATCAGTTCTAAGGTGATGCATAGATAGGTAGATAGACAGATGATTATAGCTGATGGCTACAGAGGTGGATAGATGATGGATAGGTGGATAGATAGGTAGATAATAGATATATAATAAATGGGTGGATAGATAGATGATGGATGAATGTGATGGATGATAGATAGATAGATAGATAGATAGATAGATAGATAGATAGATGATAGATAGATAGATGAATAGACGGTACCATGCAGTTTTTATTACTGTTGCTCTATAGTACAGCTTGAGATCAGGGATGGAGATACCTCCAGATGATTTTTTATTATACAGGTTTGTTTTAACAATTCTGGGTTTCTTGTTATTCTATACGAAGGTTGAGCATAGACAGATAAATAGATATTATATAGGTGAATGGATAGACAAACAGACAGACAGAGTTTGTTTTCGGAAGTTGCTGGGTCTTCATAATGGAATGCCCTCTTACACCACGTAAACATTGTGAATAGGTTCTTCAGGGGGACTGCATGTCTTCCTACCCATTTGTCCTGAATAAATGTCTATTTCAGCTGCAGGCTGCATAGCGGAAAGTCCAGAAAGAATGAGTGTGGATTTTGTAATATTCTGCTGCTGTAGATCCCTTTCAGATGTTCTGACCAAATTATTATTAGGAATTAGAAAGTGTGTATCTCCTTTTCTGCTAAACAAATAGAAAAGAGTAAAGGCTAATTCTCCATGTCATCTGAATGTATATAAATATTATGTGCATGAAATGTGTTCAAAAGATACATTTTAAAAATTAATTTTATTTTAATTTTTTTTCTGTGTGAGATTTTTATCTGAACAAAGTTACAGGCCATAGGAACCAGTAAGAAAGAATTATTGTTTGGTTAGAAATGACTGTTATTTATGTGTTATGTGAGAAAATGCATGGAATTAAAACATAAAACAGATGTACTATATGATAGCCATTCATATTTAATACATATGAATTTGGTTAAGAGAAAAAAAATTGCTTGCTGTTAAGAACCAGATCCTACATCTGGTCTATGATGGACTAGCCCTTTCTTTCCTGTCGATGCTTATGAAAATCAAGGTGAAAGGTGACAGGTTTTAGAAAGATGGAAATGAAAACGGACTCAAAATACAGGAAAATGAACTTGTTTCCCGAGGAATTCAGTTCATACACTGAAGCCCTAAAACTTTAAACCAAATTTCAGAGAGCTTTTGTGCACAGGAGAGAGGCCACGGATTTTAATTATAAATTACTGACAGAGGCTAAAGGACAGGAGATGTAGCCAGTACTTATTAGTCACCCTAAGCTATTAGCAGTTTGCATAGTTTTTTTTTTTTTTTTTTTGACATTTTGCAAGGGTTGTCATTTTCTCATTCTCTTTATATCTGGGCCTGCAAAATGAAATGAATTTTAGATTTCTGCCCTTGTGCACAGGACCAGTCATGAGACTTCGATTTTTCACTGAACCTTGAATGATTTCTCTGGTAGGAGAGCAGGAGCCTGATGTGAGAGCCAGTGAATCCCCTTATCCTCCAGGGATGTGGGGAGGTGATTTCATTGTTCCATGCGTTGCTTAGACAAATTTTGCGGTACATTCTTCCTGTGTCTACCTCAGGCCTGCAGGCTTCACAGAGAGACTGGGAACAGCTACAGTCACGCCCCCCTGTCTCCTTGGAGAACATGGAGGCAAGAAAGGCTTTTGCTCTGTTCTCTACACTTTGAGGATGGTTTGCTAAAACCATGACATAGGGGTAGAAATTCTATTTTGTTATTCCTCCATTAATGAGATACTGTTTTTCTAGCTAAATCGCCACCAGGTATGATAGCAGAGATAACCATGTGTGTAAAAAATGTGAAAGAAGAAATGCGCTATTTTTGGTATTTTGATGGATCTTTCTTCTCTTATAGGTGCTAACAGATTTTTGCCTCCTGCCTACTTTGTTTCTCTTATCTACCCATACGTTGGCTAGCTGAACGCTCATTGGTAGATTTTCCTCCTGTACACTGACACTGAATGGAGGGATTTGCCTGCACTCACTCCCGTCTCTTGCTTCATGCTCTTGTTTGCTTCTTCCTTTGTAGAGATAAGGATTACCATTTGAGAACCTACAAGTCTGTCGTCATGGCCAACAAATTGATAGACTGGTTAATTGCACAGGTAAGGAGGCGAATGGGTGTTGCTGTGCTTCCTTCTTTCTCATTTAACTTTGAGTGTGTGAGTTGGGACTTGCCTTCAGGTGACACACTGGTCTCCCTTGCCTGCGTTCCTACAGACAGTATGAAGCTTACTTAGGACTTGAATCTGGTTCCTGGCATCTTGAACAGCCTTTATGCTATCTTTTTTTTTTTTTTTTTTTAAGAAAATAACATGGTCCTCTTTTTAAAACATGAGCTGTTTCCTAAAAACAACAAACAAGCATAATTTGCGTATAAGTAAAGAATAGCGCTATTTAGTCACTAAGTTGTCTTGCATGCAAACTACTAATTTGTTTTAAAGTATCTTTTCATGAGTCTTCACAAATTATTCCAATCTCCCATGTCATTAGAGACCATCTGGGCTTGGAGAACCAAACCTTTCATGTCTGTGAAGTGCAGAGGCCACAGTTACTGTTGCTCAGATTCACTGAAACAAATTTTTGTTATTTGCTCCTAAGTAAAACACGTGTGCACATCTAACACATAACAGTAGCTTTTCAAATACAAATTTACTTAGTTATTTCCATATTTCCACTTAGATGTTTCAAGTGGTAGGTGCTTGGGTATATTCTCCTGACTAAAGGGAAGACACTAAGGAAAGGTGTTATACCCCTGAACTTCCTACCGGGGGCAGGGAAGGTGCTTGGTTGAAATGCAGTCACTAACAGAACTATTTGAGTCAATTTCATAAGCAGCCTTACTCTTTTTGAGACAGGGAATCTCTGTGTGGCCCTGGCTGTCTTGGAACTCACTTTGTAGACCAGGCTGGCCTCGAACTCAGAGATCCGCCTGCATCTGCCTCCACCTCCCAATTGCTGGGATTAAAGGCATGTGCCACTCCACCAGCCTTGCTCTTTTGTTTGTGTTAGGATATCCTTATTTTCCTTGGATAAATAGGTAATAAAATTAGATATTTAATCTTAAAATACAGTTTGAGGTTTTTATTGTTTAGTGTTATTTCTAAACTTTAAAAGGTCACCTGTTTTTTTTAAATTATTATTATTTCATTGACACTAAACTTTCACGTAGAGAAGTTATGACTTGAGAGGAATCAGATAGTGGCTTTGATAATGCCCTGGATCACGTGTCCACTAGCTCTCCAGTGTGATGGCGCCTGACACTTTTATACTGCTCCACATGCCTGCAGCTGGGTTGGCTCTTTGCTCCGTAAGATAGTTTCACACACAATGCAGGCTGCTCTAGCGTTAATACGAATTCACGTGATACACATGATATGGGCAAAGATGAGGAAAATGCTTTTGCAGCAAAACCTGATGGCAAATAAACATTTAAATTCTAATCCAGGAAGTCAGTTGCCGAATTTAAGGGGGCGAAAGTACTTGTATTTTCTGACATTTAAGGAAAAAAAAAATAAGTTTCAGAAATGCTGAAACAAAGTATTTTGTTACTTCCTGTCTGAAACTCCCAGGAGTTTCAAACAACCCGTATCTGATGCCAGCTCTGCTAACGCTGAAGCAAGCTTTCAAATGTCACTCCCTTTTTTAGAGTGTAGTGTTTTCAACTGCTTACTTCATCCTACAATAGCCATCCATGGCGTCTTACATAGGTTGCTGCCACTTCTTAATTCCGATACTGTGAAATGCATACGTTTATGGTGGACATCTTCAGCTCTGATTGCTGAGGGTCAACATTGGACTTTATGGGCTGCCTTGGGAGAGGAAGACATAGCAATGGGATGACAAGAAAGCAAACTAAAGCGCCTCAGTTAAGGGGAGAAGAGACAAAGTGAGGCTCCCTTTCCTCCAAGACTCGAATAGGACTCAGTCTGCACATTGATCAGCACTGAACGGGTCTGGACAGCTTTATTGGGTGGATTAAAGTTGGCTGCGGTGCAGCAGTCCTTATGTTGTTTTGAGGTATCACGGGATAGGTGTCTGCGATACGTGAGTGAGTGATATCGTCTTGGAAAATGCAATGACTTGTTCTCTTCTGCACACGTTCTCGCTTGCTAGATGCTTGTACTATGGTGACTTGTAACCGAATACCTTATTCCACAGAGCTAACTCCTCACTGGAATACTGCGTCAATGTATTTCTAAAACATCACGTGATTTGTTCATGTGTGATGTGCAGGAATGACTTGTAGTTTTTAATTAAACAAATTCTTGTTTCAACCCACCCAAACAATTTTTTTGTACCCTTTTTCAGTGTTTCCCGGATCTAAGTAGACCCAAAAGGATTTTTTAAAAATTTTATATTAATTATTCATTACAATTTATTCACTTTGTATCCTTCTGTGGCCCTCTCCCTTGTCTCCTCCCAGCCTCTTCCTTCCTCCCCTTTCTCCTCCTATGACCCTCCCCTAGTCCACTGATAGATGAGGTCCTCCTCCCCTTCTGTCTGACCCTAGCCTATCAAGTCTCATCAGGACTGGGTTTATTGTCTTCCTTTGTGGCCTGGCAAGGTTGCCACCCCTCAGAGGGAGGTGATCAAAGAGCCAGCCACTGAGTTCATGCCAGAGACAGCCTCTGCTTCCCTTACTAGGGAACCCCACTTAGATACTGAGTCTATGGGCTACGTCTGAGCTGGGGTTTTAGGTCCTCTCCATGCATTGTCCTTGGTTGGATTGTCAGTCTCTGCAGGGTTTTGTTTTGTTTTTGTTGTTGTTCTTTTTTGTTTTTGTTTTTGTTTGGCCCTGTTGGTCTCCTTTTGGAACTCCTGTCCCCTCCAGGTCTTTCTATCTCCTCCTTCTTTCATAAAATTCCACGCCCTCTGCCTAAAGTTTGGCTATGAGCCTCAGTCTCTGCTTCGATACCTCGATCAGTAGAGTCTTTCAGAGGCTGTTTGTGGAAGGTTCCTGTCTTGTTCCCTGTCTTCTGCTTCTAATGGCTATCACATTTGTCCTTCTGAATGAAGATTGAGCATCTTCCCAAGAGTCTTCCTTGTTGTTTAACTTCTTTTGGACTATAGATTTTAGTATGTTTATCCAATATTATATGGCTAATATCCACTTATGAGTGAGTATATAGCATGTGTGTCTTTCTGTTTCTGGGTTACCTCACTCAATTTCTAGTTCCTATCATTTACCTGCAAATTTCATGATTTCCTTGTTTTTAATAGTTGAGTAGTATTCCATTGTGTAAATGTACTATGATTTCTGTATCCATTCCTCAACTAAGGGACATCTAGGTTGTTTCCATATTCAGGCTATTACAAATAGAGCTGCTACAGATTGGGAAAGGATCTTCACCAACCCTATATCTGACAAAGGACTAATTTCTAAAATTTATAAAGAATTTAAGAAGTTAAACACCAACAAACCAAGTAATACAATTAAAAAATGTGGTTCAGAGTTCTCAATAAAGGAATATCGAATGGCAGAGAAACACTTAAATATTCAATGTCCTTAATCATTAGGGAGGTGCAAATCAAAATGACCCCTAGATTTCACCTTATACCCATCAGAATGGCTAAGAGTAAAAACTCAAGTGACAACACAGGCTAGAGAGGATATGAAGAAAGGGGAAATCCTGGTAGGAATGTAAACTTGTGCAACCACTTTGGAAATCAATCTGACACTTTCTCAGAAAATTAGGAATAGTGCTACCTCAAGATCCAGCTATACCACTCCTAGGCATATATCCAAAAGATGCTCAAGTATACAATAAGGGCATTTGCCCAAAAGAATTTTTAAAGGTATAGGATCACTACAGTATTTCAGATTACATTTATGCACTCTTCTTTTTAATGATATATTGGTCTGGCAAATATAATATTTAAATAATCAAAGCAGTCAAATCTTTCAGCATAAGTGTAACACTCTGACCAACTGCTGAAATAAAACATCAGCTCTCATGCAGGCGTCTTCTTGCCTTTGAGAAGTTGTTGATCAGTTGAGCTCATTTTTTGATCTTTTGAAAAATTCTCCTTCAGCATCATCTTCCACGGAAGCCACTATGGGTGCCCTGAGCTAGGCTCAGGGACTTTTTCTTTGTACCTAGGTCACTGAGAGAATTGGGCTGATTAAGAATCTTAACTAAATTGGATAATGATACTTAACTAGGTATCACTTATTTACTAGGTCCCTAGTAAGGGGAGCAGGGACTGTCTCTGACATGAACTCAGTGGCTGGCTCTTTGATCACCTCCCCCTGAGGAGTGGCAGCCTTACCAGGCCACAGAAGGAAGACAGTGCACCCAGTCCTGATGAGACCTGATAGGCTCGGGTCAGATAGAAGGGGAGGAGGACCTCCTCTATCAGTGGACTAGGGGAGGGGCATAGGAGGAGAAGAAGAAGGGAAGGAGGGGTTGGGAGGAGATGAGGGAGGGGGCCACTGCAGGATACAAAGTGAAGAACTTTTAAATAATAAAATTTTTCACAAGATCCAAATCACTGAAAGGAAGGAACTTTTTGTTTGCTTGAGAGTTTTAATGTGTGACATCTTAAACTTGGTGTGATATTTAGAAACAAATAAATATATATTTTCAAATGAATGCATAAAGTGTATCAAGCACCTGGATTGCTAAAGATTTGATGCATATCTGCAGGTGCATATTCAGAGTGATTTGGTGGGTAAAGTTTATTTTGGTGCTTTCTAGACATGGCCAAGAGTGACACTGAGTTAAGACAGTTGTAGGAAACTGGATTAAATAAAAAAAGGGGGTTGGTTTGAAAATTTGGAAAGTGAAGCTAGGGATGAATAAGAGCAAGACTGGACGATCTGGAAAGCCCAGTGGAATGTGTTAGTTTTGATTATTCAAGTTTTGATTGTTAAAAAGTCTTTAAGTTTAGAACATGGAATTTCTGTGTGGTAGATAGAGCCGAATTCTGCAAACAGTTTATGCCAGAATTGTGCCAGAAAAATATGTCAGTTTAGATAAGGGAAAAACACTTGCCAAGTGAGAGTGTTGATGATAGAAATGAAATAGGAATGCGAGTAGATTTGGTAGAGAACTTAAGTGCTAACAAAAGGACGAGAGAAAAAAATTATGTAATGTGTGGGAAGTGTTCCTCAAACTATAAACCGGGTGGTGTCAAGCCTCCAGTTGTCTGTTAGCAGGCACGCTGATTTTTGTCGTTGTTGTTAACAGGGTGATTGCCGTACCAGGGAAGAGGCAATGATATTCGCTGTCGGACTCTGTGACAATGGATTTATGCACCATGGTAGGAACTCTTACCCTGTAACCTCACAGATGGATTTTACTGTTTTGGTTCTTCTTGGGACATTGGGAGTGTCTCAGTGCTCCAGGAAGGTCAAGGCAACCTGTCTGGGTCTGGCCATGGGTCCACGATGAGTCACCACATCTGCAACTGATTTCACCAGTGGTGCCATTTCAATGGCCCATTGCTTGTTATCTACCAGCTTTTCTAGTTTTTCTCTTGTTTTCCTAAATTGTGTTGACTCTAGAAGAGCCGTGACATGACTTAGCAATTTTATTTTTCTTTTGAAAAACCTTATATATCTCTTTGAATTCATTTTATATTAGATTTATGGTATTGCCTGAATGACAGAATATAGTGGAATGATTTAATAAGAGCACATATAGGTAATATTTAATGTTAATTTTAGGAAATCATACTCAAAATCATCTGACAGAACTAAATCTTTGGAAACATTTTTTCTTTTATTGTTATTATTATTATCATTTATTACAATTTATTCAATTTGTATCCCGGATGTGGCCCCCTCCCTTGTCTCCTCCCAATCCCACCCTCCCTCCACTTTCTCCCCCTATGCCCCTCCCCTAGTCCACTGATAGTGGAGGTCCTCCTCCCTTCTGTCTGACCCTAGCCTATCAGTTCTCATCAAGACTGGTTGCATTGTCTTCCTCTGTGGCCTGGCAAGGCTGCACCCCTCAGGGGGAAGGTGATCAGAGAACCTGCCACTGAGTTCATGCCAGAGACAGCCCCTGCTCCCTTTACTAAGTTCCCCACTTGGATACTGAGTCTATGGGCTACATCTGAGCCAGGGTTTTAGGTCCTCTCCATGCATGGTCCTTGGTTAGCTTATCAGTCTTTGCAGAGCTCCCAGGGTTCAATTTTTTTTTTTTGGCTCTTTTGGGCTCCTTTTGAGCTCTTGTCCCCTCCAGGTCTTTTTATCTCCACCTTCTTTCATAAAATTCCATGCCCTCTGCCCAAGGTTTGGCTATGAGCCTCAGCCTCTGCTTCGATACCTTGATCAGTAGAGTCTTTCAGAGGCCCTCTGTGGTAGGTTCCTGTCCTGTTCCCTGTCTTCTGCTTCCAATGTCTATTGCATTTGTCTTTCTGAATGATGATTGAGCGTCTTCCCAAGGGTCTTCCTTTTTGTTTAGCTTCTTTAGGACTATAGATTTTAGTATGTTTATCCTATATTATATGGCTAATATCCACATATGAGTATTTGCCATGTGTGTCTGCTTCTGGGTTACCTCACTCAAGATGATCTTTTCTAGTTCCCACCATTTGCCTGCAAATTTCATTATTTCTTTGTTTTTAATAGCTGCGTAGTATTCCACTGTGTAAATGTACCACGATTTCTGTATCCATTCCTCCATTGATGGATATCTAGGTTTCTGGCTATTATGAAAAGAGCTGCTACAAACATGGTTGAGCAAATGTCATTGTTGTATAGTTGAGCATCTTTTGGATATATGCCTAGGAGTGGCATAGATGGATCTTGAGGTAGCACTATCCCTAATTTTCTGAGAAAGCACCAGATTGACTTATTTGGAAACACTACTGTACTCAAGATTCTCATTCTTTGTTGATCACTTCAAACAAATTATTAAACATTGATGTTTTATTTTAATTTCTCCAGCTATCAAAGTAATGAGTTTACTGTATCTATACCATCTTACACAGTCCAGGCACCCAGACAGTCTTTTTTCCTTTACTAATAAAATGTGCTTCTTAGCATATGCTTGATATAGCATTCACCTCCATGGTTATCAAGATATGTATGAAAAAGAAAGGCAGGCACCAGTTTACAGTCATTTAGGCTGCATCCTTTATCATCATGTGCTTTTTAGTGAAATCTGTCCCATGTCCTTATGTCCAGATCACTGTGAGACTTAAGATAAATATTGGTTCCTGAGGAGAAAACTATTGACAGAAGAAATTATAAAATCCTAAGAACTTAGGACAATAAAATCCAACTGACACCCCTCAATTATTTTTCTCTTTAACCCAACATAGCAGCAGGTAGTAATTCGATGTATTTATTGCAAAATACAAAGTGATAACAAAAGTTAAGCCGACAAAAGTCTCCAGCCTATATTTCTTGGTGCTTTTCTGGCTTGCTATGGACTGGCTGCTTGGAGGAAATATCGTATGATCTTTTGGAAAACAATTAGATCATGGAGGCAAAACTTAATTCAGACCAAAGTGTTTTTCCTTTTCGTTGTTCACTGCGGCTCATGTTACTTTTTATTGTGTGGCGGATAGCTTCCTTTGTTGAAGATCACCCATGCGCCATCTGCTCCACATTATTTGCTGAAACTCTGTGAAAATAATAAAATCCCATAGTTGGATTGTTTGACGTATCCCAAGTTGTTGACATGTAGCATTTCACTGTAGTGAAGGCAATGTGAAGATTTCTTTGACCCTCATTTTGCAGATGAGAAAAGTAAAATGAAGAGAGTTTAGGTAAGTTTCTAATTTCCACACTCAGAATTGGTCCCAGCCCTGGACTGATTCATCACACACTTAAGTGCCCTGGGACCACAGCCTTCCGGTGACTGTGAGTCACCTTGCCCCCACAAGTACACTATAAAGTACTAATGCCAGAGAATGAGAGACACAGACCTCTCTTTCAAGGCATTTCTGGGTTTATCGAGATCTTACTTAATATTCATTCTTAAAATCTGTGTCTGCCTATAGTTTTTATTTTGTTACATTTTTTATTATTTTATTTTTTTTTACGATTTATTCATTTTATATCTCAATTGTAGTTCCCCCCTCAACTCCTCCTGGGCCCACCCTCCCTTTCTCTTCCCTCATCCCTCTCCCCTAGTCCACTGAAAGGGGGAGTTCTCCTCCCCTGCCATCTGACCCTAGCTTATCAAGTCTCTTCAGGACTGCCTTTTAGATCCTCTTTCTCTGGCAAGGCATCATTGCCCTGGCGAAGTGATCAAAAAGCAGGCAACCAAGTTATGCCAGAGGCAGCTCCTGCTCTCCTTACTAGGGGGCCCACATGGAGACTGAGCTGCCTATTGGCTACATCTGAGCAGGATGTCTAGATCTCTCCATGGATGGTCCTTGGTTGGTCATCAGTCTCTGCAGGACTCCCTGGGCTCAAACGCTTTCTTGGTCTCCTTGTGGAGCTCCTGTCTCTTTTTTGTCCTTCTATCTCCCAACCTTGACCCCCTTCTCCCATAAGACTTTCTGTACTCTGCTCAGACTTTGTCTCTGAGTCTCATTATCTGCTTCGATCCCCTGTTGGTTGGAGCCTTTCGGAGGACCCTCTATAGTAGGCTCCCATTCTGTTCTTTCTCTTCCACTGCTTCTGGTGTAATATAGGATAGCCATATAAAATGTGCCTGTAGTTTTAACAAGACTAACAAAACACACACCAACACGCACTCCATGTTACCAATTTATACCAGGGATTTTTGGGGGGGCTATGTGAAAATATAAATATTAACGTTTGAGAAAAAGAGAGAAAACTGACCTTGCAGAAATAAGGTTCTCTGTGACTGTTGCTTCGAAACTCAGAGGAACTAGCAAGTCCTAAAAAGTCCCATCTTATCTAGAAGACATATTTCTAGTTGGAAGTGTTGGACAAATTGTGACCTTTCCGTGGGGGTTGCTCACACATAGAAAGACACCATGCAAGCCAGCTGAAATTTCTCATAAAGATGCAGAGCATTAAAAACACACTTAAGATAGTTTCTGCAAGTGGAAAATATCCCAAGTTCTTATGTTTAAATTGCATGAGCTTTAGGAGTTACTGCGTCTTTCTCCTTTAAATTTTGATTTTTCATTTGGAGAATAGAAGATTAAGAAATATCAACACTGAAAAGATACTACATATTCTTAAATGTAAAATCAAGTCGGTAACAGCAATTCATAGGAAAGGTAGAAATAGGTCATTGAAGAAATCTGAGGGGTCTATGTGAGGAGAGCTTTTTCTAAGAATCTAACGCTAAGCTCATTGTTGACAAGAATTCCCCGGGTGTGTACTGACGTGGAAAGTGAGCTTGAGATCCTAGTTTACTGACGTTATTTGAATCTCTCCATTTCTGCAGTCCTTGAAAAGAGTGAATTCAAAGATGAGCCTCTACTTTTCCGCTTTTTTGCCGATGAGGAAATGGAAGGATCAAATATGAAACACAGGCTTATGAAACACGACTTGAAGGTTGTGGAGAATGTCATAGCTAAGTCGCTGTTGGTAAGCTGCTGCAGCCCTAAGTTTCTCCTTGCTGCAGTGATTAGCAGGAGCTCAGAGCAACACATTAAAGCTTTCAATCTATTTCACTCTAATGAACTCCTGGTTCTTATCAATAATATTAGCATTTTACATTTCAGATTAAATCCAATGAAGGCAGCTACGGCTTTGGGCTGGAAGATAAAAATAAAGTGCCAATAATAAAGTCAGTGGAAAAGGGGTCTAATGCTGAGGTAATGTAAATTAACCTTTTGCTTAGAGTTTGTCATCATGCAATACGGTGCCAAACTAAATTTAGCCATTGTTGACGAACCTGAACAATCATGTGCCGAGGTTCTGTCAAGTAGTGTTGAATTTGTGGCAGCTGAACCTATGTCTCGGTGATGACTGGGGATGGGAGGGAGAGGTATTCCTGAGATCCACAGCTCCAAATGGCAGAGTTCCCAACTGGCATGCTCTGTGTCCTCAGGATCTTCCCAGTCATAAAGTCCATCCTGGAGCTCCGTGGGAGCAACAGAGGATGTGACAGTCGTGTTATGTGTGTCAGATGAACCTTTTGTTCAACGAAGGCAGTGTCTTCTGTCTTCTTCCTCCGGCATCTTGTGAATGAATATGGTTTCCATCAGCAAAGCAGGCACTTTGACTTTCTCATTGGATTAAAGATAACTGACACTTTCTCACGTCTGTGTAAGCATTAGGACCTGCGTTTGATAAAACCCACATTATTTTTTTAAAGTGTGATGTGTGCACTTGTAATTCTATGCTTGGGAGATGGAGGCAGGTAAATTCCTAAGGACACAGGACAGGTGTCCTAGGCACTTGGTGAACACAAGCCAATGAGGGACCTATCCCAGGAAGCGAGGGACAAGGTGGCTATCACTTAAAGAACAACAACCAGGGTTGTCTTCTGGTTGCTGTATATGCAGACTGACAGAAACACACACACACACACACACACACACACACACACACACACACACACA